GATCCTACAAACAAAATACGAGTTTCTGAAAATCCCAAAAAGTGATTTTCCGCTGCAGAACATCATACAGAGGCCAAAAAACCAACACAGGAGAGAAGAAACAGGCAAAAAAAAAATGCAAAACTGTTTTTGACTGATAAGAACCTTTGAAATTAACGTGAGAGGACGCTGCACATAGTAGGCCTCAAAATCATTTTCCATTGATTCAGTTCTCTGGAGCGGAAAGTTTTGTCAAGTCGTCGATGGTGCTTAACGCGGCAGCTGTGCTAGCAACCACATTCACTTCTTCCCTTGGCGGTAAAACACAGCTGAAAATACCACTGAACAGTAAAACTTGCTTCGTGAAGCCCGAATTATGAGGATGTATTGAGCCACGAGACTCATGAATACCCCAAAATGCATCACCCAGTGCGAAGAATTTAGCTTAGCTGGCTATATATGAGTAAACAAGAACAGAAACTTCACGTACGTAATTTCTGCAGAGATTAAATATGCATTATAGAAGGGATCATTGAATATGTGTCTGAATAGTTCGAGCAATGAAATCTGGAACTAGTGAGGTTTGATGACATATTTCCCAATTCAAAGTAAGACCAGAAATGCAAAATCAGTTTTCAGGTCTTGTTTTGTCTACACTTCCTATAAAATTAAAACCGACATTCTGATTTCAGAGCTATAAAGTCAACCAAAACTCCAGAATTTTTTCACTCGCTGTGCATTGTGGAGTAAATATTCTGAAATTCCACTTTTTTTCTACCCGATCTCAGATAAGCGAATGCAAATTTCCCAACTTCAGATGTTCAGGAAGGTCCAACTGAGCGAAAAGCTGGGAAGCGAAGCAAATGAAATCGGTGTTTAAAATGCACTGCACTTGGATCCAAAATGCAGCTATAATCTCAAATTTAGTTCAATTACTGAACTCTTTAGCAGGCCGCATTTTCGAAATTCTGTAGTTTACAACCGCCGTTGTACCTTGGAACAGCTATTCACATACAGCACAGTTTTCTGTCAATACAGATGATGACTTTTTCAGTCCCTCTGACCAATGCTGAATCGCCTAACAGTCAGTCTGCAGGAGTAGTCTTGACGTTTGTATCACACAAACACACACAAAAGCCAGCTCCACACCCAACTTATGCAAAGCGAACAACTACTGAAAATTGGCTCAGCTCGACAACACAATATGCACTCGTTTCTTTGCCCCAAGCTGCGAAAGCCGTGGTAGTAGGTTC